ATTTGCTCATTTACGTAAGTGTGTGTGTATGGATATGAATATGTTTGAAATGTTCTTTATTTGTAGTCCTATAATTAATTATCATTTGGTTTAGCTCATTTCTTGGCATGAAATTTCTCAACAAATTTATCATATTTTCTTACAAATTTTTTAGAAGAACCCCACCAAAATTGATAATTATGGTATTTGGTTGTGTTATCAAGACTGCAACTGTCTTTGCTAAGCTTTGCAAGAGAGAGCACAAAACAATTCCACAACTCGAAGACTACAACTGTCCCTGAGTAATTGTCACTAATGCTTCTTTTAGTTGTAATTATATTGTGAATGAAGAAATGAAAAAAAAAAGAGAATTAATTATCATAAATTGATTGTTAAAAAATTCAAAATCATAACATTATGTGTTTTTAAAGGTTAACAAGTATTTTTAAATACAAAAAACAATTATATATATTTAAGTTTCATATCATGTCTATTTTGGTCATTTTACATACCCACAGCAATTCCACCTCAAAATTTACCAAACGCTATTATACTGATTTTGGAACCAGCACAGCTACTATAATTACAATTTACCAAACACTCAGCTGCTTCTTGAAACAGCTGCTTCTTCCTTCAACACAGCTAAAAGCATTTTTTCTAAAATCCACAGCACTACTAAACTAAGCCATGATCTTCCAAAAGTCTTCATCTAAATTTTTGTCGAATTAATTAATAAAAAAGTGTGAAATTCAGTAGGGGCCTATATGAAAATAAAAACTGTATTTCAACAAGACAAAAGGAGATGATTACAAATATTTAAAGACTATTAAAAAAAATAAAAAATAAAATAAAAACTCCATGGAGGCAGCCATGTCTCCCCTATTGATTATCCCCTAAATTTTACAAATCACCTAAGAAACCTCTCCAGAAATTCACACCATTTGAAAAACATAAAGAATAGTACAGTATTTTAAAAAAAAATGCACAAATATGTTTACGCTATCTTTTTGTCAAAGGGTGTAAATTGAAACTATTATAGTGTAGAAATGTTGCTCATTAGTCTTTCACCTATTTTTCATTTGAGTTAATGCACCATGTTTTATTTCTTTTATTCATTAAAAAATAAATGAGTAATTGGGACAAATGATATCTAATTTCTTTAATAAATAACAATTTAATCCTCAATTGTTTTTATTAAACGACTATTAACTTTTTTAAATAAGTGCATATTTAGCGGACGTTTAGTTCATAAATTTAGAATTATGATTCAAAATTATTCTCAATTTACGTGTATTTTTTGTGAAAAAAAATACTGTAATAAACTATAAACTATGATTCAAATCATGACACGAATCCACCGACCAAACGCACCATTAGCCTTTTACGTCCAAATCCGTTAAATTAACTACGTTAATCTTGAAAAGGTGAAATTGCCCTTTTTCTTTTTAAATTTATTTTATTTTATTTTTCTCCTTTTTCTTTTCCTCTTTCGTAGAGAGAGTGGGGGAAAAGGAAATCATCGGATCTGCTTACGATCAGAGAGAAGCAAAGCAGATACGGTAGCCATTGATACAGAAGGACAACGACCATTGATACAGGGTTAGCCTGCTTTACATTTTCATCTCTCTCTCTAGATTTTTCCTTCTTTCTCTCTCTATCTGGTTTGATTTTGATGGTGAATCATTAGGTCGGTTTCTGAGGATGTTGAATTTCTTTTGTTCTTATTCAATTCTGCGTCTCAATTCTCTCAATTGTTCTTTTGTTTTCGAATCTTCAACATGCAACTTTCCCTTCAGTTCTTTTACGCACCTTCTCTTTACCTGCATGCATTATTTTTTTGCTTCATTTTGTCACCGGAATTTGGGTTCTTTATTTCTTTATTTCCCTTGAGTTGTGTCATTGATTAGCCGCCACTTTTTGGCTTTCTAGATCTTGCGGTGATCTCAGAATCGACGAATTTAAGAGGAATTCGGATCAGATTTGGTTTTGGTTTTGGACATTCCCTTCCTCCTTGAGCCCCACGACAACTGCCTCCAGTTCCCGATTGAGGCAAGGGACCGCCTCTGCAAATCAAAAACCCAGGAAGAGAGATATATTTTTAGTTTTCAATTTATTTGGAAAAAAAAAAAAAAAAAAACTCGTGATTTTATTGTAATTAAGGGCATTTTCGTCTTTCCAACAATAATATGGGCCACATGAGTTCTCACATGTACTGTGCTGTTATGGAAATTGACGGAAATGATGAGATTGCACTTTTTAAATAGGTTAAGATCATTTTGTCCCAAAAAAAATTAATGATTAAATTGTCACTTTTTAAAACAATTAAAAACCATTTATATAAATTACCTAAAATAAAAAATAAATATATGTATACGAGTTTTTAATGATTATGTTACTTATTAATATATAAAAATTTAATGACATGACGTGATAAAAAATTTTAATTTCATTGATTGTCATAAAATTTTTAAGTTAATTATTTAATTTATTACAACAGTTAAATTAATATTTTACTGTTAAAACACAAATAGAAGTTAAATACAAAAGCTTTGAAATATAATGAGACGTTTGATTCATAGATTAGAATCATATGATTAGAATTATTTTTTATTTATGTTTATTTTTTGTGAGAGAAAACACTGTAGTGAACTATAAATCATGATTCAAATTATAATTTAGAATCATCCAACCAAACATCCCCTAAATATTAATAACATACTTTACACAATAAAAAAAAACACAAATTTGTGAAAGTGTGCCAATGCCTCGTCTACACTGAACTTTCCCACCATCGCGATCTAGGATCACAGATTGCATGATTGCACTCATTTCGCGATCCAAGTTCCGTTGCAGATTGCAATCTCATGACAGTCTTCTCTTACCATGTCTCACATTAAACTCACAATCTTCTCCAACAAAGGCTACTTTTGGTATTATTTTTTGCTTTTAAATTCAACTTCTGTTTGTAGTAAAAATTAATTTTAGTGTTTAATAAATCTCCTCAAAAATATTTTTTGAAGATTTTTTAAAGAATTTATAGTCAAAATAAGAAGCAGTCCAAAAATAACTTTAACTTTTAAATTATACAGGAATCAACATAATACAATTAATGAAACATTCATAATACCCATAATATCCCTAATGAAATTTAAAATTTACAATCTTTCTAATCTAAAATTCAGACTCATAATATAATATAATATAATATAATAATACAATAATATAATAAAATATAATGTAATAGTAATATTGTAACAAATAATATCATAATTATATTAATAACTCTAATATTATTATTTTATCATATAATATGATATTATAATAATATTATAATTATTTCATTTAGTAGTAGTTTTATTGTGTTATACTAAATATACATTATATTGTAAATATATATATATAATAATATAATATAATATAATAATAAGTTTTAATTATTTCAGTTATTATTTTAATAATATTATTATATTCTATAGCATAATTATATAACACGTTATATAATAATAGTTTTTTGTATTATATTAAATATAATAATAAATATATATTATATTGTAATTATATATA